AATGAGGGAGTGACCGTGCAAATTCATTCAAACTTCCAATCATTTTGTCTCGTATGATACACATACAAAAATAAAAAGATTCCACACTAATTTTCCATCAACCTCCCCAAACTACCCCTAGAACTTTTTCTCCCTTCCCACTTGTCCTTCTCAACCTATTTATATACTACTCAACACTTCTCATGACCCCATAAATCCTACCCTCACACTAATAAACTACTACAAAAACCTCTCAATCCCAAATCACCACCACCACCACAACAACAAACAAACAAATAAGAAGAAGAAGAAAAATATCAAAACTTTCTTCCTCATTGACAACAACAACAACAAACAATGCCATCCCAACAAGAACACTTTTCCTTCGATGCATCCGTCCTTAAGAACCTTCCCCACATACCGGCCCAATTCATATGGCCCGATCACGACAAGCCATGCCCCCACCCCCCTCCCGCACTCGATGTGCCGCCCATCGACCTTGGAGCCTTCCTCTCCGGCGACCCTGACTCTGTATCCCGAGCAGTCCGCCTCGTCGACCGCGCCTGCCGCAAGCACGGCTTCTTCCTAGTCGTCAACCACGGCATCGACAAAGGGCTCCTAGAGCGGGCCCACCGCGGAACAGACTCCTTCTTCACCAAGCCACTTAAGGAGAAAGAGCGAGCCCTTAGAAGGCCCGGCGACCACTGTGGCTATGCCAGTAGCTTCACCAATCGGTTCTCGTCAAATCTACCTTGGAAAGAGACCCTATCGTTTGGGTACACGGCGGGCCAAGCCACGGTCGAGAGGTACTTCTCGGATACAATGGGTGGGGATTACGCCGAGTTCGGGTATGGTTATTTCGTTTTCTTTTTTTATATAAAATATGTATCTACATATGTTTTATCATTGAAAAATTTTCGATTTTGGTTCGTTTACTTGTCTAAAGTCCTTTTTTGGTACACTAACGGACTTCTTATAAAAAATAGTTGGTTATGTTGCAATTTGTATCGTTTTTTGGACATTACTCATCAGAAACATTACGTTATGTTGCAATCTATATCATTTTTAATACATTACTCATAAAAAATTATCGAACCATTTTCGGGATAATGTTCCAATAGTGATACAAACAAGGTACTATTATTTTTGTTTGAGTGGAAAGTTTGTGAACAAGAAAAGAATTTTAGACAAGTTAACGGACCAAAATTAAATTTCTGTCTTTTTATCATTTTACATTGTGTCAATCTTTCTTTTTTATTTCTTATTTGTTTAATAAAGGAGGGTGTGCCAAGAGTATTGTGAAGCCATGAGCAAACTCTCACTAAGTGTGATGGAGCTTTTGGGAATAAGCCTCGGCGTGGGGCCCGCTTACTTCAGGGAATTTTTCCAGGGGAATGAGTCCATTATGAGACTAAACTATTATCCGCCGTGCCGGAAGCCTGAGCTGGCGTTGGGGACTGGGCCCCACTGCGACCCGACGAGCTTAACGATACTCCATCAGGACCAAGTTGGTGGGCTTGAAGTGTATGTCGATGAAAAATGGCACTCAATCACTCCCAATCCACAAGCTTTTGTCGTCAACATTGGGGACACTTTCATGGTAATAAAACAATTCCTTAAAAAATTATAAATAGAAATAAAGGATAAAATACTTTTGAAAGATAATAATTCCGTGTCTCACCTTGTAGGGTAGGTTTTGGCACGAGGCATGAGCTTTTTCTTTTGTCTTATTCCATACACATTGGTCCATTTTACGCTACATGTTGAATTTTTATACGTGGGTACACGTGTCAGTCATCTCCATTAAATAAGAAATTGCATGTTGGCTTGTCTTTAGTGATTTATTTTGCTGTGTGATTAAACATCGTGAGATCCGAATCTTCTTTGCAGGCTCTATCGAATGGGATTTACAAGGGCTGCCTGCATAGGGCAGTGGTGAACAGCACGACTCCAAGAAAATCGCTTGCCTTCTTTCTTTGTCCGAAAACCGACAAAATCGTGACCCCACCAAAAGAGTTGGTTTGCGAAGGAAACCCAAGACAATATCCGGATTTCACTTGGCCGGCCCTTCTCGAATTCACACAAAAGCACTACCGGTCGGACATGAAAACACTTGAAGCCTTTGTGAACTGGCTTGGACATAATAAATTCCTCCAAAGCGAAGTGTAATTCAGTAGAGAAGCACATATTAGAAAGAGCCAGGAAAAAGAATTTTTGTAAGAGATTCAATTAAGTTGTGCGTGTGTGTGTGTTGTGTAATAAAGTAAACTATAGAGGCTGAAACAATTTGTTCATGGACAAATTGTTCGGTCAACCTAAGGTTTTTTTTCTTTTTTCCTATCCCAATATGCATGGGGTAGTTGGACCCTTTGATCCGTACGGTTTTTATGCCTATTGTATGGCTGATAGAATATCGAATTATCAATTCCCATTTTATTTGTTTGATTAATCGCATAACCTTTATGTACCGTGACTATGTTCTCATTCTCTGTTATATTGACCAAATTGTGGCTGGTGTTGTTCCCTTCAATTTTGGGCCTATTTAGACTCACGGCACTATATGAACGAGTTTGGGTCGGCTAAAAATTGACCTAATTGTTACAAGAATTAAGGCAAAAAATAAAAAATAAAAAAAATTAAAAGATTTAATAAAACAAACTTTTCGAAATAAAATGCACAAGCTTGAATCTCATCATACTCGCTACTATAAGCTGACAAACTCATAAAAAAAGTTACACTAATCACACTCTCAAGATAATTTGCTGAAGTGACAGGATTAATGTTCACAATCACAGATCGAAAAATGGTCAATTAGAGGGCCAAAGCTAAAAATTAAATGGATTCGAACATTGACCAACAGGCATAAACTTCTACGGAAAAATTAAATAGATTCGATTAATCTGAAAGTTTGTGAATATAACTTCTCTGTTGAAAGGAGTCTAATGGTATATAAATTAGAATGGAAGTCGGGCAAGCCAGAATTATCCCATAAAGAGGACACCACATTCCGAATTTTAACGTAAAATTGAACGGGACCGCCAGGAGTAAGATGAGGATTGAAGTTGCTACATCACACAGGCTGCTCATCCTCCATTTGCTGCAAAGTAGATTCATTTCAGATTGACAAATATGTGAACACCAATTCGTTGCACAAAACCTTGTTTTCTGAGATTAAAAAGAGCCGAATATAAAGATACAAAGGAATCCCTAAAACCAATCTACATCAAATCTCTAAGATACCAAAATCTATCTATATCAAAAATACAATATTCACCAAATCACTCTAACAAACACATAAATCTACCACTACATGCTAAAACCAGAAAAAACCTCAAAGCAATACCAACAAACAGAAAACTAAAAACCACAACAGCAAACCATAATAAACACAAAGACAAAAGCACAGCCAAACCATTACCACACAGAGGCTAGAACCTGCTCACCCCCCACCTGCTAAGATCTTGGGACCTTTGAAAATTCCAGCCATTCTCGCATTGCATTTTTAATGATCACCTGTTCTGGCATTAATTCTTACGTGAATAGCCACATGTTGCGCGTTTTCAACAACCACCATAATAGGAAGGTGGAAATTTGAATTCTATCTTCATGGATTGTTGCCTTCCCAATTGAGCAAATATGAGTTCACCAATCTTTGAAGTAACATTGCTCAGTATTGATCCCATCCCACTTTACAGGCCCCATCTGCTAGTTCCTTGAAGCTATAGGACAAAGGAAACATACATGTTCAATTGTTTCAATACCCCCACCACATGTTTGGCAGGTGAAGTCGATATCCATCCCTCTCTTCCTCAAATTGATTTTGAGAGATGCCAGAGCAACATTTGCAAATGAAATGTTTTATCCTGCCCTTCACCTTCAATTTCCATAGCCTGTTCCTAGCCATTTCTCCATGTACATCTCTGTTGCTGCCTTCTGGGATGTCCATGGCCAACATTTTTTGTTCCATTAAATATGTGATGGGTCTACTCTCAGATCTAAAGTGAACCGGTAGTTATGAGTTCCGATCTGTCTGAATCGCCTTCGAACCGTTGCTAGACCACGACGACACCTGCAAGAACTCAACGCCAGAAGTGTTTCTGGCGTAGAGCCTCCGACGCTCAAATCAGTATGTTAAAGAGATGAGGAAGTGCTGCTCTGAGAGAGCAACAGTAGCAGCAATAGGAGAGTGTATGGAATGAATGAAAGTTAGGGTTTAGGTTTACCTCGACCTTCTTTATATAGGAGAAAAACACTTATTTGAAGTACCCAAAATGCCTGGTCGACTTATGTGAAAGGTCCGGAATACCCCGGTCGGTTCGTCTCCCCTTACTGCTGAGTCATTTCCAGGTTCCTCCTTATCTATTAGAAGATACGGTGCTTTAGATATGGTGCAAGTGTGCTGAGTCGTCAACACCTTCTACGTCTCGAGATGCAGGGAGTCGACCTCGAGCACCGCGCGGTCGACTTAGGATTCATGTGCATGTTTGGAGGCTACGCTTGTTCGTCTTCTTGCTAGCGATCGACCTTAAGGGAGTCGATACACGAAGAACGACTTTAAGATTGTTGACTTTGGTAAAATTAGCTCTTCTTTGGGTTAGTTCAAGAGGAGGTCGACTACCATGAAGTCGACTTGGGGATGTCGACTTTGATGTTATCCGATTGACATGCTGACGATTCCAACTGCCCTCTGGGTCGAGTAATAATCATCTAGACCGGTATATCATAATATGGCTATATCAATATGCATATGAGGCTGCTACAGAGAACCTACCTTTTTTGTCCATCTTCCAACTCCAAGTGTCCTCCAAGTTGGGATTCAATGTTCTAATATGGAGAATTGGTTCACTGTCCAAAAGACTGAAGACCTGTTTGATAAGCCAGTCATTCCACTTGGTCCCCTCCCCATTCATTAAATCTTTCACCCAAATTAAATGTCCCCTAGCAATCTCCAAAAGTCCTGGTTTCTAGGTTGCCAGTGTTGGAATCCAATTGGCATCTTCGATTTTGGTGTTCTTCCCATTTCTTCTCACCACTTGGAGTCCCTTAGCAAACAAAGGGATCACTCTTTGCCAACTCTTCCAGAGCTAAGATGCATTGTGCTTATTGTCAGCTTCCAAAAGGGTTGATTGTTGAAAGTATTTACTCTTCAAAACATTGCTAACCAACAAGTCTGGTTGTGTTGTGACCCTCCACAATTGCTTACCAATAAGAGCTTCATTAAACAAAGAGATATCCTGAAATCCTAACCCGCCTTTGCATATGGGCAGTGTCAGGTGACTCCATTTTTTCCAGTGTATATTGCTATTTTCCTCCTCTCCTATTCTCCACCAAAAGGCAGCACATAGTCTAGTTATATCCTTGCAAATAGCCACTGGTAGCTTGAAACATGTCATAGCATACACATGAAGTGCATTTATAACAACCTTAATCATCAATTCGTTGCCTGCCACAGATAGCCACCTGTTTTTCAAACTCAATAGTTTGGATCTCACTCTTTCAATAATGTAAGAGAAAGTTTCAATCTTAGAACGACCAATGCCCAGCGGGAGCCCTAGGTACCTCGTGGATGAGTGCTTGCTTACCCCTTGAAAAAGCCTACAAACCGCCATCTGAATATGTTCTGGTGTATTTCTGCTAAAAAGGATGGTCGACTTGTCCAAATTCACATGTTGAAAAAGTCTGTATTTCTCCATGATTTGTAGAATTACAATAGCGTGGTATTGGGGCGGCTTTGCTAAAGAGCAAAGAGTCGTCGACGAACAGTAAGTGAGATATAGTAGGCCCCCCCCGATTTAGCCTCAAACCCGAGTATTGATTTTGAACGACTGCATCAGTTATAAGCGCCGAAAAAACCTCTGAGACAATAAAAAATACAAAAGGAGATAACGGGTCTCCTTGGCGCAAACCCCACGACAGTTTGAGAAAGCCCTGCACTTTGCCGTTTAGGTTGAAAGAGAAGGTTGTAGAACTGATAAAAACCATAATTAGGTTAATGAATTTGATGCTGAAACCCATCTTGGTCATAATGCGCTGGATGCAGGGCCACTCAACACGATCGTAGGCTTTCATCATGTCGAGTTTCAAGGCCATAAAAAAATTCTTGCCAGAATGATGTCTGTTGAGAAAGTGAAAGGTCTCATGTGCGAGTATAACATTGTCCATAATTTGACGTCCTTGGACAAAAGCTGCTTGGCAATCACGTATACTGTTGTGCAGACAGTTCCTGAGCCTTGTTGCTAGAATCTTGGACACAATTTTGTAGAACACAGAGCATAAGCTTATGGGGCGGTATTGATTCAACATCTCTGGGGATTCGACTTTGGGAATTAAGGTAATCGCCGTTTGGTTCCAATATTGTAACATATTACCAGATAGGAAGAAGCTTTGGACTGCTTTAATTAAGATCATCCTTGAGTAAATCCCAGAATTTCTGATAGAACAGTGCCGACATCCCGTCTTCCCCAGGCGCTTTCTCCGGATGCATTGAGAACAACACTTCTTTGATTTCATACTCCTCGACCATGACCTCAAGCGCGGTATTCATCTCCGAATTTATGGATACTAGAATGTTTTCTAAAATATCATCTGCTTCCGAAGACCCTTCTGAGGTAAACAAGTTGTTATAAAACTGAGTCACATGGTCTGTAATTTCTTGCGGGGTCTGAAAGATTTGATTTTGAGTCACAATCTTGTGATCGCATTAGTCCTGCATCTTTGAGGCGTAATCGCGTGAAAGAACCGCATATTCCTATCGCCCTCCCGAAGCCACATATTCCTTGATTTCTGCTGCCAGTGAATTTCTTCTTGGGCATGGAGCTCTTCAAGTTCTCTTTTGGTGTGTTCTCTGTCTTTCCGATACAATCCTCCGGCCTGAGATTGCAGCTCTGCCAATCGCGAATTAAGATGTAGGATTTTGGTCTGATTGACCGATCTGAATTTGGAACTCCATTTTAAAAGAGACACCCTTGTTTGCTTTATTTTCTCCTTGACTATGAACATGGGAGTTCCCATACCCGTGGCCCACCAGACCTTTGCCACCACCTCCGTACCCGTGGATTGACCTTTTGCTTTGCTTTACTTTCAACAATTCATAATTTGCACATTGCTTGTTAATTGACCAATGTTTAATCCATAATATTTATCTTCCACTATAATTATTAGGTGCATTAAATGTTAAAAACTTTTATAGATAACTTTTTAATTTTTAGTAATTTTAATCTTTATGCAACACACAAATTTTTAATGGTTAAATATTTTATTTTTATGTTTTCATTTTTTATTTATTTGTTAATTCATTTTTTTAACCTATATAATGAGTTACATAATATCTATTCGAATATTTAGATCTATTATATATTTCTATAATTACCAAGTGCTATAATTTAAATTATTACACATTGCTATTTTACTAACTTATTTTTCATTTATAAAATAATATATAATTTAAAAATTGAATAGCTTTTAATGCACATAGATACTTCTAAGGTGAAATTTATAATTGAATTGCACCCGACTATCAAATTTTATTTTCATTAGTATATTATTTAAATTTTTAATTCTACTATCACTGCATATGATATATTCAATGTGGATGTACCTCTTCATAGTTAAGTTGACTACATTCAGAAACTTTATTAATATTTTAAAAATAAGTTGGCTTTGAGGAAAAATTAGAGGTGATAGAAACATAGTTGGATCCATTTATATTTGTTTAGTTCGAACCTGAGGTAACCTGACTTTGATCTGCCATAATGAGCTAAATGAAAGATCAATGTTGACCAGAGACAGGTTAATTACCTGCTTTGATACCATGAAAAAAAAATAAAAATTAAATGAAAGAAGAAAGTTATGGGATAAGGCTTCAAGAGCCATTGCCATTGTTTCATGTTTTTTGTATAGATGAACATATACAGGTCAAAAGCATCATACTGCAACATTTAGATACTACAATCCAAACTCTACAACTACGAAATGATGGTCTTGGATCATATCCAAGTAATCCCATGGTTTAGATCATCACTGGTGTCTCCAAAAGCATGCAGACATTGGGACCATCTGCAACTTTTATTCTTGTCTTTTCTTGTCTGCATGGAGCCATGCTTAGTGTTGAGCTGTCAAGGGACTGATCTACATGGCATTTGACTTATGCACAAGATTTAACACATATTGATTTCGAATTTAAATCAACCGTTTATTCTTTTTTCATTAAATGCATTTGAATCACATGTTTATTGTTTCTTCGTTTTCGGAATCTGTTAGAATATACTGTAAAACCTCGACTTTCAGTTTCTGGCAATACCTTTTTGATCAAGCAATCATGTATTAGTCAAGTATTTATGTCTGCAAGTTCATTTATTGATGCAAGCATAAGTTCCTTTATTTTACATTGTAGATAGTATGGTTCGAAGTGTCGAACAGAAAGATCATGCTATCTTCCTTGTGAAATAAATTATATATTCATAGTCTAGACAGGTTTGAACAACCTTATTGGCAGAAACTG